AGGGACTCCCTGTAGAGGACTAGGGTACGGGTGACACAGCTAAGCTCTTTGGAAGTCAGGTCCCTGAGCACCTCTACCCTGCCTCAGCCTTTCCCCTTCTTCTGAAGGCCCCGTTCTTAAGGACTCTTCCAGGCAGGCACAACGTTGCATTGTACTTCGAAGGAGATCCTGCACTGGGTACCCTGCCCCTTTCCAGCCAACCACAGGCCTAGAAATAATCTTGGTAAGGTTGCGACCATCTGTGGAACACTTATTTGCTCTAGACATGCCATTTATAGGAATTCTGGTGCCTGTGAACTGTCATCAGTATCTTGCAGAAGATGGCAGATAAGAAGGAAGAAGCCATCCCTGGAGGCTGGGGAGATGGCTCGGCCATTCACAGTACTTGCTGCTCTTCCAGAGGACCTGACTTCAGCTCCCAGCACCCATGTGAAGGCTCACAACTGCCTGAAACTCCAGCTCCATGGAATCTGATACCCTCAAGGTTTTAAGAAGAAAAAGAAGAAGCTGTCCCAAGGCATGAACTAAAAAAGGGGCAGAACTGAGTCTTGAACCCATTATACAGACCCCATGTCCACTTGTGAGTGCTTTTGTAGAGTGCCCAGCTCTGCTCCTAGGACCTATCTTTACCCTGCAGAACTGATGCCCTCAGAGATCTTGCCACTGCTCCAGAACCCATCCCCCTAATGCTAGTGCACACGGTGAGGAGGGGCAGGAGATCTGGAGAAACCCATGTTAGAACCTGGCTTACTGAGAGGTCAGCTCAGCCAAAGGAGACGTATGGAAACTTCTGCCCTGGTTCACTTACCTAGGACCAGGAGCAGATGAAAGACAAGAAGCCATTGGGCCCGACATCCTCAGCCACGATCCCTGGAATGCCCATCTCTTCCCTCAACCCATCCCTGTTTCTCTTGGGGGCTCTTTTTTTCCTGGGGGGCTCTGGGTGTTTTTTTAAGTTCCTCAAAGTCTATCCTCTCTCCTCTAGTGCTCTACACTCAGTGGGTGGAATGAGACTTGACCTAAAAGCTTGTGTTTCACGTCTATCCACTCCATCCAGGGAGACCTAGATGGCAGAGAAAATGCCAAAAATAAATTCATCCTGCCCCTGTAACCCCTCCTGACCTTTGAGGCAGAAGCCTGACTAAAATCTCAATGCTCTAAGTGTGGTGACACCCGCCTGCAATCCCAGCACTCTGCAGACAGAAGTGGGCAGATCTTGATTAGCCAAGGCCAGTGTGGTCTATATAGTGAGTTCCAGGATAACCAAGGTTACATAGTGAGACCTTTTCCTCCTCCCTTTCCCCCATCCCTGCTACCCCAAAGACCTCAACCCTAGGAAGAGAGAGGACTTCAAAGAAGAGAACCAGTGAGAAGAAACTCAGTAAAAACAGGCAGGGAGGAAGGGGACATGTCTATTTCCACAGACAGGCCCAGGTAGTAGTCTGCTAAGTGGGCCTTAACAGCATCCATGTAGAAAAAAAAAAAAGGAAAAGGAGAGAAATAACCAGAAAGCATCTTTCTTGATGCAGCCCTAGGAGTATGCTGGTGGGGATTATGCTCTCCTCCATAGCCATGCCCCACCCTCATTTGAGTCCCCTGGACTGAGTTTACACCAGAACCATAATGACAGCATAGTAGAAAATGACCCAGGAGTTGGGAACAATGTTTCATGGAACACTGGTGTCGAGCACCTGCCCCACCTTACCCACCAATGAGTCACCTAAGCTAGGCCACGCCCTGAAGCTTCTAAAGCTCGGCTCTTCTCCCCCACTCCCCACCTCTGGAACCCAGCTTAAACACAGAAAAGCCTAGAGAGGGTTAGGGGCCCCCTAGCAAGAGAAGAGGGAGGGTGACTTGTCTGAGCTGGTTTCTAGACTGGTCAGTAGTCATGTACCCCTGCACCAGAGCATCTCTCTGGTCCCCTAACTTAATCCCATCTGTCTGGTCCCATAATTTAACTCTATCCCTGAACCTGGCTTCATTTCTTCCTACAGCCCCTTCTTGATTCAAACATCACATCCCAAGTGTTCCCCTCATTCTGCAACTGACTCCCTGGGTTCAATACCATTCACAGAGACCTCTCCCAGTCTCTAAGAGACCCCTTACACTGCGGGCAAGCCCGTCTCCTTCCTGTGACCCTTTCTTGATAGGGTACTTTGCTTCAAGAAAGAATGGGGGGTGCTGGAGAGACGGCTCAGCAGTTAGAAGCACTGACTGCTCTTCCGGAGGAACTGGGTTTGATTCAGCACTCACAATCAGCACGGCTCGAAATCATCTGTAACTCCAGTTTCAGGGCCTCTGATGTCCCATGTCTGACCTCCATGGGAACCAGGCCTGTGCTAGCACCTGTGCTGGGATTAAAGGGATGCTCCACCACACCCCTAATAAAATAATATATATTTTAAAAGTCTCTTACATAGAATTTATTTATTTATGTTTTATGTGTGTTGGTGTTTTGGCCTGCATGTATGTCTATGGGAAAATGTCAGATCCCCTGGAGTTACAGAGAGTTGTAAACTGCCATGTGAGTGCTAGGAATTTAACCCTGGTCCTCTGGAAGAGGAGCTAGTGCTCTTAATCGCTGAGCCATCTCTCCAGTCCCCCTTGAGGGAATCTTTTTACAAGAATTTTTTCCAATCAAACGAAAACTCTCAAGGCCCCTTAACCCAGGCCCGGCTGCCACTACCGAAGTATCCACCAGATGGCAGCCTTTCCCCACCTCCTGTACTCCTTAGAATTGCCAGAGAGGTCGCCTTTCTCCCCCCACTAAAGGCACCATTTTTAGTGGTTGGTGCACAGACTCAGCCCCCATCACCATCTTCAGTATGGCGAGTACATCATTGGTCCCTAAAGTCTGCAATTTTGACCTCTTCAAAATCAAGTTCTCCCTCCCCTCTCAATCCTCCAGGTTTCTACTGGATGAGCGGACTCCCCCTGGGGTCTTCGGTTCTGTTCAGTCCTCAGATCGATCCCTATGGGGCGGATACGACTTGGCTAAGCCTTACACCCTCGATTCCGACCAGCGCGGATGAGAGAATCCTAGAGCCTTAAGCAGAACTAATCAGAAGCAGCAGCGTCCATGTTACTGCCACTCCAAAGAGGGTGACGGAGTCGGTCGCTGCCTTTAGCACATCTGGCATACACACCTGTACACACAGTCCCCTTTGATTTTCTCCACATACCCTGCTCTGAATGGAGGAGAAAGCAAGCGAACAGCCCTTCCCGAAGGTCGAAGGTCAGAGGCCGGGACTACAAGTTTGAGAGGGCATTGATTCGTATTAATCCAGTTGGTCCTCTCTCCCCGAGTCACACAACCTCCGGGTGGGAGCAAAAGGGAACCCATTTGCTACTTAAAGTCCCAGAGGTGGGCGCTGGGGGCGGGGTGGCGGTTCACAGAGAACGTCCCACCGACAGGCCTGGGCCTCTCTGGTTCTGCTCTCCAGGAAAGGAACTGCACACCTCGGCTATGAGCCGTTTAGTGGAAGAGGCTTTAAAACCCGTGGGATGAGGAGCCGAGAGTGCCCGCAGCCGCTCAGTTTCCCCGTCCTCCTCCCCCCTCCTCCCTCGGGAGCGGCGGGAAATTATTTATTAAAACACCGTCCGCACTCTCATTTATTTGCGGTGAATAATCCTAGGCATCTCAGCGCGTTTATTAAACCTTTCCCGTCCCCGCGCCCGCATTACTTTAATAATAAATCGCGTGTCACTTTCCGGCGACATTATTAAACCCCGTCCGCTGCAGCAGAGGCGGGGTGCGGGGAGGGTGCAGGCGGTGGGCGGCAGAGCATCCTTCCACTCCAGGCTGCGGGGCCCAAACCCTCAAGGCTGCAGAGAGGGCAACTGAGGGGTCGAGGAGGTTACTCCCTATAGACTCTGCAGACGCAACAGATTTGGGTTTGGGCGAGAGCCATCCTGTGCTCTGCAGGTAGGTGCAAGGCCACAGGACACCTTGGAGCCCCGCAGAGCAAAGAACAAGCTATGATGGACACAGGGACCCAGACCCAGGTCCCCTCTCACTGGGTGGAGAGGACCTTCTTGAAATCAAGCAGCAGGGCGTTCCCCACCCCCACTCGGCCTAGACCCTCCCACTGCCCTGCTTCTGCCAGAGCCTTACAATTCGCTGCCAGTACTCGGCTGCAGCGCGGCTACCTGGGATCACTGTCAGAATTGAAAAAGTGGCCGCCGCCAGGCAGAGGCAGTTGGAGATGCAGTATAGAGGCAGGAGGGGTAGCCAGGCCTTGAGCTTGGGGTTCCTGGCCACGCCCCTTCCAGGGGGCCCAGCAGCCTGCGTTGGGTCTCACAGGGCAAACACAGACGCTGAGCCAAGAGCCGTCCCTCCCTGCGGTGGCGCCAGCTCCGGGCGCAGCCCCGGCGCGTAGGAGGTTGTCGCTTTCCACACACAGTGTCTTGGCCTGGTGACTAACTCCACCCTACCCTCAAACAATTTCATAAACTCCTCAAGTCCCCGGGCTAGGTACAGAGAGTATGGAGGAGAGATCTAGGCCAAAGAGTGCTTTCGTGAAGGACCTTAAGTCAGAAATGACTGCTCACAACTGGGACAGTTAGAAACAGGGTTGTACGTTTTAGCTGGAAAACGGAAGAAAAAGGAGGTTGAAGAGGAAGGGTGTAGCTAACACAGGTGCCCCCATCACTCCGTTTATATTGGGGTCCCACCCACAGAGACCTGGTTTCTGGTTTGCAGTCTGCCTGGGGAGAATAGGGGCTGGAGATAATCTATCCTTGTAACAGCGGGGTATGGAGGTGTGGGGAGAGGTTTGAGCTTTGGGGTGGAAGCTGAGATAACTCCCTCCTCTCTCAGTCAGATTTGCTCTAGGCTCCCTCACTGGAGAACAGGAGATGGCAGTATAGGCCTGAGTCAAGCCTTCTGTCACACACCAGGGCCTGCAATCACTAGAAGCCAGAGTCTCCATTAGAGCAGGAGGCCACGCAGGATTGTCTGGTCTCTATGTGTGCATCCGAATTGTCTGCAGCAGTGTGGCTCGGTTTGTTCATAATTTTTTATTGGTGCCCACTGTGTCTAGTTGTATGCTAGGTGGGTTTTGTCCCCTAGAGTGTATAAGACATGAAGCTGCCCCACCCCCCTCCCTATACCGAACTAAATCAGTTCCGCTTCACTCATCTCTACCACAGAAACTTCTGGAAGATGAGTTTTGAGGAAAGGTGAACTGAGTCCACAACGAGCATTAAACAATCCATGAAAGGACCCTGCTTGACCTTTCCAGTCTTCTCCGGGCTTTCTCAACAGCAGAGGTACAGTGCTATATCCACACGCCCACACCCGAAAACCAGAGATCTGGAACTAGTAGTCATCCTCCCACTCTTCACTGTCCTCCTCCTTCTCAGGAACCAAACTCCGTGATTGCAGCTGGGAGAATCCTGTGGCGTTCAGCTGGTCTGCAAACATACGGGATAAAGGAAAAGGGTCAGGGAAGAGACTTGGTGTATGGGAAGGTTGTGTGTGTGTGTGTGTGTGTGTGTGTACAAGTCACATGCAGACTGTCCCTTACTGCCTAATGCACCCATCTTCCTGTCATCCAGGGCTCAGGGCTCCCTTACCTAGTGTGAACACTGTAAGGGTAGCAGAGGCTTCAACTTGGCCCAAAGCATTCCGGGCAAGGCAGCGATAGGTGCCCTCATCACTAGGCCGCAAAGCCTGGATCTGTAGCCAGCCAGTCACCTCAAACTTCTGAGGTCCACCCCTAAACTGGAGACAGATGTGCTGTCAGCAAGGTCATTTGGAGAAGCTCTAGGTTTTTTAGGAGTATGCGCCCTCACCGCTCCCTGACCCTACCTGCACAGAGATATGGGGGTCATCCCCCGGCAGCTGGGTGTCCAAGCCGTCTTTCCTCCACTCAATCGAGGCCATGGGGTAGGCAAATACCTCACAGCCAAAGATCACATCCTGTCCAGTCACATTCCAAATATTGTGAGGCTGCGACAGGATCTGGGGCTCTGAGGCAGGGGGATGGAAATATGAGGCTTGACAACAGGAAGCTGTATCCAGCTCAGCAAGAACACAATTTACAAATTAATGTGGCCATGTTTGGGGCAAGACACAAAGCATGCCAAGGTCAACATGCATCTGCAAAGAAAGTATGCCACAAGCCCGGATACACACAAGCGTAGGTGTAGATACACACATGGGCACAAATGCAAGTCTGGAGGTGCACAGGCACACAGAGCAGTGTAAGTTACACAGACATGCCTACAGACCCACGGCTTAGCTGGGCAACCATACTCTGTCCTGGACTGCTCTGCTGCCCTTATTCTACCCTAGGGCCCCTTTCCTGCGGGCCATGTAACCAATACCTCCCTCCCTCCTTCCCCCTTTTCTAACTAGGCCCAGTTCCCAAAGGCTTGAAGAGCAACCACATTCCAAATGTCGTGAGAATGTGACAGGATCTGGGCTCTGAGAGGGAGGAGGTGGGAATAGCACAGAGGGAGGGGAACCTGAAACCACCTTGTTGCACCGCAGCAAACTGTTGGGACCCCCCTGCTAGTGCATTTGTTTTCCCTGCAACTCCAGCCCAGCCAGACTAGAGTAGGTAAAGGCTGAGGAAGTGGGAGTAGCCAAAGAAAACCTCAAGCTTGAACAGCCCCAACCCCAGCCCAAAGGATGAGGGGCAAGAGAGGCAAGGAGCCATCTTCCCTTCACTGAATCCTAAATGTGAGAGAAAATGGATAGGCGGGAGCCAGGGTTAACAGGACGCATCTCACAGGACTCCTTCTGTCTGGGCTCCAGCAGTCTGGGCAAAGTTGGGTTTTTTGTTTGTTTTACTTTGTTTTGGGGGAGGGGGTCCTTTCAGTTCTGACCCAGCTATTGGCTATGTGCCTGTTCCTTCCGAAGGCCGGTCCCTGCAAGTCTGGATAGGGCGCTGAGGCATCTCAAACCTGCTAACAAATCTCAACCTGCGTTTTAGTTGGCAGCCTTTGAGGCTCTTGGTCTCTCTCATCTATTCATTCTGTTGACCATAGACCAACGCAGTCGGGGATCCCGGAGCAGTGCCTTTGGGAAGCCAGGGTCCTGGTACTACGAGCCCTGGGTTTGCGTACCCGATTCGCAGGGCCCCGGATGCACCACAGTGAGGTTAGCGTCCGGGCGAGCGCGCGAGGCCTCCTGCAGGCGGCAGATGTGCGCGTAGGTACGGCCGTCCGAACCACACAGCGGGCGCTGCGAGCGGCAGACACACAGCGGCTCCGGCACCTCTCCTCGGCTCAGGTCACCGCCCGCGTCCAGCCTGCACTCGAGCTGCTCGCCGCAGCGCCCGTAGAAGTTAGCGCTGGGGTCCAGGTCGCAGAGCTGGCCCTCCAGGTTGGCGCATTCCCAGCAGCAGCCGCACGCATCCCGCACCCGGCCTGCTAGGCAGCCCCGCGGCGCAGCGCACTCTTCTGGCCGGCAGGAAGCACAACCCTCGCCCTCGGCTAGCAGCCGCAGCCAGCCTCGCCGCAGGTAATCGGGGCCTGCGGACGGCCTCGCGCTAACGGGTCCCTGGGTCCGCACCATCAGCAATAAGAGTAGCAAGGGCAGCGCCAAGGTAGGTGCAGCATGGTTAGCTGGAAGCCCTGTGAACACTCGGGGCATCAGCGCGTAGGTGGCACCCTGCCAGGAGAGGGAAGCCATGTCTGGGGGTCAGAGATAAAGTCAATGCTGAAAGACCACCCTCACTGCTCCCTGTATAAAAGCTTGATTCTAACACTGACCTTTCCTCTGCTACCCTGGAACCAAGGAGAAGCCCCAACAAAAAGGCCTGGTGACTCCCTGGGGTTTATGCCAGTTGGTAATTGATTAAGCTGGTCTTGGGGACTAGGTAGTAAAGAGATAGAGTGTCTCGGGGTATAATCCGTGTAATACCCATGCACATATGCATGCACACACCCCCTACACACATCGCGGATACACACCATGCACACACTCGCGCGCGCACACACCAGCACCACCTCCAGAAACCACCCAACTTTGATCCACCTTTGCCCCAGAGATGGATAAAACTACACTTAAAGTAAAAACTTCAGGTTGGGTTGATGGTGCTAGGAGCATCCCATGGACTCACCTAGTGCCTTGGAGCAGGCCCTTAACAGCTGTGATTTCCAATCCTAAAGAACCGGTAGGGGAACGAAAAGAGTCGCATGCGCGGCCAGCCAGACCCGCAGGCCACCTCTGCCTCTGTCGAGGGGATCGCTGTCAGCCCACAGACTTAAGAATCAAAGAGAAGCTCCTCCGCCCCCTCTCCCCGCCCCTAGATGTCGGATACCCGCCTTCTTCCCAAGCCCTGAGGCCCGATAATTTTATCCAGTCTCACAAGGACCCTCCTGGGCCTTTCACTTCAACCCTAGGCCAAAGTCACAACGAGTGTACAGAGCAGCTGTAACCAGACGCCGCAACTGGGAAAGCAAGGGTGTGAGAAGAGAGTAGGGGTGGGAATGGCCAAGAAGCTCAAACTGTTGGCTGAACCCCAGGTCCTGTCTCATCTGATTTAGCTCCGGAGAGCGGCAAACAGCTGCAATACAGAAAGAAGGAAGGGGTTCTGGTGCTAAGATATTTTACTCAATGTAAAATTTACTTCAACCGTATGGGTGTTTCTGGAGGGCAGGCTCGGGGCCAGCTTCCTCTGGGCACGATTTGCAACTGTGCTCACCCAGTCTCTCCACCGGGGCGCAGACTAGACTATAAGCGTTTCCAGCTGCCATCCACATCTGGCTATCTCCCTCCCACTATAGGGCAGGTGCTTGAACCCGCGGAGGAGCCTGGTGATTAGAGGTCGGAAGTGACAAGCGACCGCAGCGAGGCCGACGGGTGACTCCCGGTAGGGCGTCTCTGGGGTCCGGATTACAGGTTGCAAATTCGAGCATGTCGGGGCCAAAAGTGTTCAGTCTGCAGACCTCCACCAACGCCACGGTGGCACTTCGGGCCGGGGGCAGGAAGCAAAGCATCCCCGGAGGCCCGCCCACCACCCTGAGAATGGCAGGCCCCGCCCCTGCCAGCCCCAAACAGCTTCCAGAAACCGCAATCCAAGATCCTAGGAAGAGGAGGAGGAGCAAGAAGAAACACAACCTTCAGGCAAGGGAGGGGAGGGGCTTATGTAGGCCCCGCCCAGGAGGTGTCACAGGCCCTGACTGCGCGTGCGCCTGCGGCGGCTTCGTGCTCCACTGCGACGAGAAGCACTGAAGTCTTCGCGCAGTTCTGGCTTTGACCGAGTCATCCTCAAAGGAGCGTCCAGTCAGCAGAGACGCTGCTCCTGGCCATTGGGGTTCTGACGTGGTGGACGAGAGCTGCACACAAGACAATCCCAAACTCCGAGGAGACAGGAAGCGAATTTCACGCGAGGTTTCGGGACTCGCGAGAATTAGAATTAGAGCTAGACTTTCAAAAGGAAAAGCCCACGGCTTTTAAGCCAGGAAAGAACGAGGGCAAGCCGATACTGATGGTGGTACTAGGCAATCCCTTGGTTGAAGGACAAATTAGGTGTTGGTCTGGGAACGGAAGTGAACCGAGAATTGCAGAATGTTCTGGAAAAGACATGATGAGGGCTTGCCTATTGGAAGAATGGAGGCACTCTAGGGGAGGTCCCTAGCTGTGACTGACAGCGCGCCTGGGGGTGGGGATCGTCACCCGAGGTAGAGTGGGAGCTCTCCAGGTCCAAATGAGAAACTGTGAGCTTCCAGCCCTAGAAGCCACTATCAAAATCCCCAGCGTCAGGGTCCTAGACGTTCCTTCCATCTAGTCGCTGCCGGCGTTTACTTTTAGTCTTTGCTATACTTCGCGCCTCTAATAGGAATCACGACTAATTCGCTACTGTATTTTATGTCTCTGTACCTCCACGACTGGCTGCTAAGTAAGTTCTTGGGAAGCATTTGTGCATTAAAAGTGAAAGACTCCCTCACTCTGAAAGAGGACTTTTACTTGAATTTTCTGTCACTAATGAGAGGCTAGGGATTAAATCGACGGAGAACGAGCGCCCTCTGGTGGGTTTGCAGCAGCTGAGACTAGTGACAATGCATACTGTCTATACTAGGGATCCACTGTAACTTTGAAAAAGTTCTTTTAAACAGTAATTTTGCGTTGCTGGTGATTAAACCCGGAACTTTTATAGTTAAGCCAGAACTGTGTCACCAAGCCGTATCTCCAGCCCTATTATAATATTTTAGAAGGGGCTTTGTTCGCATAAGACAATTTGAAAGCCTAGCTAGCTATTCGTGTTTCCATATGCTCATCATCTGGTACTTCATCTACTGAAGCTCTAAGACACGTTAAGCAACAACCGCGTGTATCAGAAACAGAAAAAGAGCTTGCATTACTTACACTTTAAAACCTTGGTTTGACGAGCTTCCTGTTGTGGAGCCAGAGGAAATTAGTTCTAGTCCAGATGATGTGGTCACTACCAGACAGCATCCTTTGCATATCAATGAGTGAGGCAAGATCCAGATGAACTCCTGATAGTTAAAATCTTTTCCTAAAATATTTATTACTGTGTTGTGTATGGGGGGGAGGGTGCGCCCACGCAGGCACATTTGGAGCTCGGGTGATTTTCAGGATTCCTTCCATCTTGAAGTCATCATCAGACTTGCAGAGCAAGCACCCTCACCTGCTGAACCATCTTGCTGCTCTCAAATATTTTTTCTACATTATTTGTTTTTTTGTGTGTGTTTGTGCAGGTGTGGGTGCATTGTACACACTATGAGCACATGAATGGAGGTCAGAGAGCAACCTGTGAGGGTCTGTTCTACCCCATGAGCTCTAGGAATTGAATCAGGCCATCATCATGGTCAGTGCAAGTGTCCTGCCTTCCAGCCATCTCCCCAAACCCCTAAATCTTTTTTTTAATGTACATTTGTGTTTAGTGGGCCTGTGTGAGCATGTCAGATCCTCTGGAACTGAAGCCACCAACAGTTGTGAGCTGGCATGTGGGTGCTGGGAATTGAACCCAGGTACTCTGGAAGAGCAACTGGTGCTCTCAACCACTGAGCCATCTCTCCAGCGCCCCCACCCCTATTAATTAAATATAGTGGAAGCCTGGAATGGTGACACATGTCTGTAATCCCAGAACTCAGGAGGCGTAGGCAGGAGAATCAGAAGTTCAAGCTCATCTTTGGCTACCTAGTTTAAGGCCAGCAGGGCTACACAATACCCTGCCTCCAAAATCTGAAGAACAGGAAAAACCCTTGGGGTGACTTGGGAGCACTCACTTTGTAGCCTCAGTGTCATAAGCTTTGGTTTGTCACAGTTATGGGGACAGTGGAGTGTCATTTGAGGAGGAAGCAAAGCACGTGGTCCACAGTGACAGCATGGATACCGACGAACTCTGCTTCCTACAAGTATTAGACTCAATTAAGTCAGAAAGGCTCAAGATCGATAACTAAGATAAAATGCTTTATATTGGCCCACTATGACAAATTGATGTTCTCATTAAGGTAGAAAATAAGATTAAGATAAGTATATAGATACCACAACTGTATAAAGATGTATCATAACTATCAGTAAACACTGAGAGAATTTTCGATGAGGCTGAGTGGAACGCTATCTTTTACTTTGTAAAATTATTTTCACAATGAAAGAGTAGAGGCCAATCTCCCATGCTGCCCAAAAAATGAATACAGACTATTTTTTTTTTGGTAAATTAGAATGTTGAAATGAATATAGAAAGCGGGGTCAGCCAGATAGGAAAATAAATATTGTAATTTATCTACAAGTAACATTACAAAATGGACCTATACTAGCCAGGAACTTGCTTCTGGAATACTGAGGCACTCCAGCAAGCTGAATGGATTTTAAGGCATCTTATACTGACACCAGGCCAATAGTTTCTTTATCCTTCTTCCTCCTCCTCAGGGCAGTTTCTTTCTGTCACCCACACCCGACCTTTGATATTCTACTTTTGACCACCTGGTGAACAATCGTAAGAATACAGTTAAAAGAATTAAAGTCTATGTTTCCTTAAAGTTACAATTACTATGTGTAAGTAGTGTCTGTGTGCGTGTGCAGATGCACACATGCTAGTTGTGTAGTGGAAGCCAAAAAACAACTCTGGGGTGTTGGTTTCCCCTCTCCTACCATCAGATACGGGGATTGAACTCAGCATATCCAGCTTGTCCAGCAAGTGCTTTACCTGCTGGACCATCTCACCAGCCCACTCTCCTGCATCTGGTGTTCTAGCTCCCTTGTTCTCTTTAGACAAGATATCACTATGTAGTCCTGGATGACCTGGAACCTGCCATGCAGAACAGGCTTGCCTCAAACAGTGACAACTCCTTCCTTAATGAGCCCTTTATCCCTAACACTGAAAATTAGATTCTCTGAGTCCCTGAAAGGTAGGGGGCCGTCTTCCTAAAAGCCCTACCAAGACCACAGGGGCCAGGGAGAAATCTTATACTCCACATATGTTTGTAATACTCTCCAGGCTCAGATTCTACGTCCATCCTTTTCTCTTATGATATATAATGAAGTCTGGCCCCTTTTCCCTGGCTGTCAACACACAGGCTGCTCAACCCTGGAGTTAGGATAAAAGACCATAAACCATCAGGTAGCCTACCTCAAAGAGTCCAGAAGCCAAAAAGTCCCCAAATGGGTGGACGCTGTCATGCTGGCCTAACATAAAGAGCTTGTTCCCTCTGATGACACAGGTTCTACACGTGCTGCTTTTACAGCGTGGCATCTGGACATCGAGAGGACCATAAAGGACTGGCTCCATCACCAGGATCTATGGATATAGAGAAATCCCGTCAGGCCAGGCCATCTCAGCAGAGCCTCTAAGACTGGACCACAGGTCCTCCATGCCCTGGAGGGGCTGGAAATAGTGAGAAAGGACCATGACAGGGTGACAAACTTACACAAGACAGATGACAGATAACAGTTGCCAACGAGAAGCATAAAGCATGCTGGCCCATAATTACCTCATTCAAAAATATAGATATATTCATTCATATATACATGTACACACACACACACACACACACACGCATATATATATGACTAATGTTGGTTTCTGAGGAGAACTGGGGTATAAGTTAGCATGCAAGCTTCCCCCGCATTGCCCAGCTTGATGAAACAAAAAATGTACCTGCAAACTGTACTCAGAACTCCAAACAGGAAAGGGTGGATGCTTTCTTGAGGGCTAAGGAGAACTGATCATGTCTTCTATGGATTGTAGACAGCCAAACAAACCCATGGAGAATCCTGATCCCCACGGAGCACTTTAATATAACTGTTACACCACCAAGCGCTTTCAGAAGTTGGTAAACCTTACATGGGATTGTTCTCAGCCTCACAAACCCGTGTTACTTTGTACCTTTTCTATTTCTTCCCAAAGGCAAGACATTGGAAGAGAGGTAACAGAAGGAGGCAATCTGAACAATGCTCAGCAAAACTGCTTGCTGTGTCCCCTGATCATTATCCTCCATGTGAGGAACATGTAATAGCCTCACATCAGCGTTGTGCTCGCAAAGAGTGCAGAACTATGGGGCTTTGCAGAGGGAACTGAAGCCTCCTGGGACCTGGGGCTTGATCTGCAGTCACACTCTTCTCTATAGACTTTAAAGGCAAGGTGGACAGACAAGAGACAAGGCTGCTGTTGTCAGCTACGCCAGCATAGCTGAGTTCCTTGGATCAGCGGAGGGCTGAGGGCGAGAGAAAGAAAGACAAAGAGTCATCTGGTAAAGAACCAAATGCTATATTTTCAACTGCATAGCTCCCTTTTATACTGCCCACAAAACAGGAACACAAACAGGAACAGGAATAAAAACAGGAACAAGGATCAAAACAGGAACAAGGAGACACACTTGGCAGCCTACCACCCAAGCTTGGATTTCTCCTTGAGCAGTCTTCTCAGGGAAATGCATAGAGATGGGGGATCGGGCACAACAGCACAGGTGCAGAGGATGGTGACTCACATGCTGTGACCCAGATTTAGTGCTTAGAGACTTAAGCTCCTGCAAGCCCAGCCACCAGACATTTGCATTGGTGTTTTACCTGAATGTGAGTGCGTAAGAGGGTG